ATATATAGGAGCTCTGGTAGCGTAGTGCCTAAGGCGCTTGAGTGCTAACCAGAAGGCTGGCAGTTCAAACCCACTAGCCACTCCTTGGAAGGAAGGTTGGGCAATCTACTTCTGTAGGGATACCGCCTTGGAAACCCAAGGAGGGGTCGCTATGAGTCAGGTCTGACTTGACAGCACATAACAACAACAACATATATAATATAAAATTTTTTTGCAATGATTATTTTTTTTTAACTTTTATTGTGATTTGGATGAAAGTTTACATAGCTAGTTGCTTTTCCATTGAACAATTATGCACATCTTGTTTCGTGACAGATTAAAATACCCACAATGTACAACACTCTTCCCACTTCCTCCCTGTGTTTACCATTTCCCTTCCTCCTCCTTTCCTATCTTTTCCTGCCTTCTGAAATTTATCTTAAGGGAAATGCTGTCCTTTTGATCTCAAATGTTTGATTGTTCTAAAAAGAACATACCGCCCTGGTCATGCTGTTCACCTTAGAGTTCTATTGTTTGGCTAAAAGGTGAGCCACTAGGGTGAGTTCAGTTCCAAGCTTGAAGGGTGTCTAAGGGACATAGTCTGGAGGTTCCACCAGTCTCTATAAGAACAGTAAGCCTAGTCTTTCTTTAAGATTTTGAGTTTTGTTCCACATTTTTCTCCCACTCTATCCAGAACGTCTTATTGTGACCCTTTTCAGAGCAATGTGCAATGATAGCTGGGCACCATCTAATTCTTCTGGTCTCAGTATAGTGGAGGTTGGGGTTTGCATGGTCCATTAAGTCCTTTGGACTAATTGTTACCTTGTGTCTTTGATTTTCTTCACTCTTCTTTGCTCCAGATGGGGAGAGACCAGTAGTAGCACTTTTCAGGGCCATTCACAAGTTTTTACGACCCTGGTTGCTGATGCTGTTGTTGTTGTTAAATGCCGTCGAGTTGGCTCCAACTCATAGAGACCCTATGCACAGCAGAACGAAACACCGCCTGGTCCGACGCCAGCTCCACGATTCCTGCAATTCTTGAGCCCATCACCACAGCCACTGTGTCAATCCATCCTGTTGAGGGCTTTCCCATCTTTCATCGACCCTCCACCTCACCAAACATGACATCTTTCTCTGGGAAATGGTCCCTTCTGACAACATGACTAAAGTAGGTGAGATGAAGTTTGGCCATTCTCACTTCCAGGAGCATTCCAGCTGCACTTCCTCCAGGACAGATTTGTTAGTTCTTTTAGCAGTCCATGGTACTCTCAGCATTCTTCACCAGCACTACAACTCAAAAGCATTATTCTTTGGTCTTCCTTATTTGTTGTCCAGCTCTCACATGCATATGAGGCAATTGAAAATATGGCTTGTGTCAGGTGCACTGTTCTGGTTACCTAGTGCCTCTCTGACACGAATATATACCACAAATGAGATGGTCTTAACAAACAGGAGTTTATTCTTTTACAGTTTGGAGGCTTTAAGTCCAAGTTCAAACTGCCAGGCTCTAGGGGCTGGGTGAAACCCCCACAACCTTGGGGTCCAGCTCTGCCTCCTGCTTCTGGCCCACTGGAGCTAGAGGCATTTCTTCACTCAGATAGCTGCTGGCTGCTGAGGCTGATGAACCCAAGGTTGACAAGTAAAGAGGCACAGTCCTGATGTTACCAAACCACGTGGCAGGCCATTAATTTAAGTCCATCGTAAGTCCCAAGGTCAACAGAGCATGGCAGGCTGCGGAACAATGACACGGCTACATGCAGGGTCCAAGTGTGCCATAAACTAGCTACCATTCCCAAAACTGCTACTTACATATGGGAAGCAGACCACATACCCAAAGACAGCTACTCAGCTGCTCGCAGTAGATTCCACCATGGAGTTGATTACCAGGCTCATCATGGGAATACTACATCTAGCTGCCAAGCCACTCAACCAGGCCCAGCAAGTTGAAACACAAACGTAACCACCACACGCACCTTAGTCCTCAGGGAGACATCTTTGCTCCTCAACACTTGAAAGAGGTCCTTTGCAGCCGACTTGCCCAGTGCTATACAACTGACTGGAAGAGATCCATATTTGTGCCCATTCCAAAGGTGATCCCAAAGAATGTAGAAATTATAGAACAATATCATTAATATCGCACGCAAGTAA